GTTCGCGCGCGTTGTCGAGTTGCCCCAACAACGAGACAACTTAGAGGGCTTGGCAGCCATCCGTCTGCTGCCGGAGGAGCTACCGCCGACGCTTTTCTTTTCCGGGGACGGGAGGGAATCGCGAAACCGGGGATTTGGAGGAATCTAGATGCACAATTTGCATTCTTTGTAACTTTACAGTACGAGCGAAAGATTGCAACGAAATATTCCGCTATAGAATTTACTGTAAATTATTTTATATATAATTTTAATTCTTATTTTGCATAGTTTTTTATTTTTTTATTTTTTTAAACTGCAAAATAATGATATAAAGAAAGGTGTAGGCGGATTTATTTTCTATAATTCTTTCTAGGGTTTATAGGACTAAAATAGTGTATCATAAAATTAGATTTTTCACATATAACAACTCTATTCAATTGTTTTTATAAATGAATCCAACTGTTTAAGTTTGCGCAAAAAGTTTCGCATTATTTTGAAATACAGTGCAGCCTTTTCCTTTACGATTGTTCCCACCATAAATTCTCTCTATCGATTGATCGTTCTCGACGCAGCTGACGAAACTGGACAGTTATTTCGTCACGGAACGATCGGTATCTGGTCTCTCTCTTTCTTTCTTTCTTTCTTTCTTCCTTTCTTTCTTTCTTCCTTTCTTTCTTCTCTCTCTCTCTCTCTCTCTCTCTCTCTCTCTTTCTCGTATAATACAATGAAATTAAAGCGATCCACTGATCCGAACCGCTTTGGTTGAGTGACAGAAGTTGTGTGTGCGCGCGCGCCTTGAGAAAAATTTCTGCGCCGCAAGGAACACACGAAATAACGTGTCCTGTCTGCGCACATGCTACGTAATCTGTGAAACGCAGTCAGCGGCTCGTGGAGACTTTAACGCGATGGAACGCGACCTCGATGTCGACGCCATCCGAGTAGCCCCCGGGTACGCCTTCAACCTATTTACAGTGACCGATCGTTAGAGGCGATCCAAATACGCGCTACTGCGAAAACGCCGGTGTCATTAATCGCCGTCGGATCTCGCTTGTCACGTGTGTGCGTTTATCGCGTTTGCTTTTGATCGACTGCCGTTAAGCGAGGTTTATTTTTCCAGACACCGTCGTTCTTAAATCCGATTATTATTCATCGGCTTTTTTATTCTCCAATTATGCAATTTGTCGTTCTGTGTGTGTGTGTGTGTGTGTGTGTGTGGCGTGTGTGCGCGCGTGCGAGATTCACCTATTTGCGAGTTAATGGACCGGAGATTGACTTCGGATTCTTAGATCTAGAGAAGCGTATGGAGAGCGCGTTTTCTCTTCTTTAGATGTTAGAATCTGGTATTTTTAAAATTACGCTTGTCTATCGCTATCTCATTTTTTTATTCGTATGATTTGTCGCGTGCAATATTTGTCTAGCGTGTAAGATTCAGCAATTTGCGACTTGATAGATTGTTAGATTCGAGATTCAATATTCTTATTGTTAGATTTCCCGATGCATCCAGGGTTTTCTCTCTTCACTTCACAGAATCCGGCATTCTTTAAACTAAATTTTTATTCGTTGTTTTTTTATTACTTAATTATGTAATTTCTCATTCTAGTCAGATTGATTAATTCAGAAATCAAATAACTGCTAAAGTCATAAGATTCTTAGATTTCAAGACTTTCTTGCGATCAACGCTTTCTCTTCGTAGGATCTTAGAATCTAGCTTTCTTAAATTTAATTTTTCTTTATTACTTTCTTACGCTTTAATTATATAATTTGTCATCTTGATACACAAGAAATTGCAAATCGGCAGGAAGATATAAATCCATCAATTGCGTTATTTGCATTCCGTTGAAGCATTCGCGACGATCATTGGATTTAACAAAGCCAGCGAATAGCTGTGTGCACAACGACGCTTCTTCTAATTAAGACACCGGAGAAAAAGAGAGAGAACGCGCTCGTTTTCTTTGTAGTTCACGCACTGAACGGAATATCTCGTCAGAGGCGTCGATCTTAACGATGCAAGTCGACCGGCTGGTATTGCTCTATAACCAATAATTATCGTCACTCGTTTCGAAAGAGCTCCACCCTTCTGAGCCGGGCTTGTTAGGTGGTGAAACAAGCACATCGCCGTTTTCACGGCGTCCTTGCGCGACTGCTGCTCAACGAGGGGCCCCGTTCGTTGCGGCTTCGCGCGCAACAAACTGGGTCAGCTACATGCCAGCCGAAATCCGTTTTCTTTGACAAGCGGAAGTTTGTCAGAAAGCGCACCGATTTGCGCAACCGATCGATCGGCCGCGGGGCAGTCGCCGGATTGAAACGAAACTCTTGGCGAACACGTGGAGAAAGTCAAAACAGAGATTCTATCGCTTTTTGTGTCCAAATTACAGTGGAACATCTATTATACTAATTGGAAGACACAAGTGTTTGGACGAGCGAATTTTTGTACAATAAGAGCAATCGCTTTCTCGACATTGAGCTTTTCATTTCTTTTCAAAGAAATAATAGAAACTTACTAAACTAAAAATTACATTGGAAAACTTCTTTGACATATATATGTTTTTTAAATAACGATATCTTTTATATTATATATTTAATTGTATATTGCTTTTATTATATACTTTTAAATAAGATTGGATTTTTTAAAATTATTATTTTTTTCTCGAAATTGTTCAATTACGGGAAATAATCACACACATATAAAAAAAATTGGAAAAATTTTGTCAATTTACTTCTGACACGCTGGTGACGGTTTTATCAGTGATAAGCGTGTCTTAACGGCGACACGGGTGAAACCGCATCGGTCGAGTTATCGACATCCGCTACGGCGGTGTCACGACAGTCGTTAATCGCACAGCACCGCCGTGTTTCGATTCCGCTCCATTGGTTATGCATTAGCTTAACTTTTTGCCCGACCGGTCGGCGCTGTCGAAATGTGAGTTCAAAGGCCATTCAGTGTAAGTAAAGCTCGTGATTCTTGCAGCTTCTGCGGCGAGGCAGTAAGTTATATTGTTGTAAAAAACCTGTTAAACACTCAAGTTTTCCATTTAAATTCCCAAGTCCAGCAATTTTTAACAATTGTTAACAATTAAAAATAAACTTTGAATTTAATGAATAAAATTAATATTAATTTTAAATCTCTAATATGATAAATAAAAATGAGCTTACTTTGATTATATTATAATAATTTTTTGTTTTAATTTATGTTTAATCTAATTTAATTTACAATAAAATTTACTTTTGGCTCTTTCGTATTATTTAATACAGTAATTATGGAATAGTTAATATGGAATAAGTTATTAGAGCCAGAACTGATTTTTTATGCTCATTTAATCAATATTACAATCAATAATGATGTACAAACGTTTCAGCTCATTGGATGTGGCCATCTTCAGTGTACAATTATGTTTAACAATTACTTAAAAACTAATCTATCGTGATTCTAGTATACGCTTTACGCAACGCTAATTTATTGCACGGAATTATTTGCACGATCGTAATAATTGAATTTTTATATAAGATTGACGCTGTGGACTCCTTTAAAATTTTATTCAACTGACTAACTTAATGTAAAGAAATTGAAAGTTGGAAATTAACGGACGACAGTAATATATAGGAATAATCAAGGATAACTAAAAGCTTCCATCGAATAGTAGACCAAATTAGCGTTGCGTAAAGCGTACTAGAATCACGATAGATGCGTTAGTTTTTAAGTAATTGTTAAACATAATTATACATTGAAGATGGCCACATCCAATGAGCTAAAACGTTTGTACATTATTATCGATTGTAATTAAAGGAGCATGAAAAAAACCAGCTCTTTGGCTCTAATAGCTTATTTCACATAATTACTGTATTAATTTAATTTATTAATTTTAATTTTAATTTTTAATTTTTAATTTTTTTACACATCTTTGATATCTTCAAAGCATAAGTTTCCTTAAAGCCATCACGTCTTGCTTTAATCGGACGCTGCAAAATTAATTACAAAACTTTTCGACCACTTTCTTTTTGTTGCCCGTCGTCGTCGTCGTCGAAACGGTATCGTTCTGGCAATCTTATTAATCGCCGAAGTTAATTAAGACGCGTATTATCCTAAGCGCGAATCGTGCTAATAAGCACATCGTGTGGCAACACGGGGTGACAGCGTCATTAACGTACGTGCGGCATCGTACTATGTTCGGGATTTTGCATTAACTCTGACAACCGGGACGAGAGCCTTCCGCGATGGTTTTGCGGCGGTTTTTTTACGTTGGTAAGTTGTGTTGCGACGTCATCAATGCAACGTTAATTTGGAATGTAGGATAAGACTATTCCACGCGATCGTATGCAAGTATAGGTACAATACATGATGATTATTAAAATATGATTAATCAAAGAAATGTCGGAATCAAGTGGAAAATTTCGGATAAGTTTCTAATTTTGCATGAAATTTTGATAAGAGAATTTTAAAGAAAATTTTCATAAAATATTGATTTGAAAATGCGATTTGGAAATTTTAGAATTAAAAATCCGTAGATTATTTTTTGAAGCATTGCATGGTTAGTCTTTTGAGAATACTGGGTCAGTATACTCGACGATGTATGTATTTCCCTCAACCTCCGTAATGGTTCGTCTTTGTAATGATCTAAACCGCTCTTATCCGGTGTTCTAATTACACCCTTAATTACACGTGCACGCCGAGAAGCCTTTTCATGGCACGGCGCGGGGTCTGTTCACCGGCATGAAGTCATTTCCTCACAGAGCTGTGAGATAGTAAAGATAAAAAGCTCAAAGTTCCGGAGATCTCAATGTATTTAGCATTAAAGTAAAATAAAATTAATTAAAGCAGAATTTAGAATAAATTTACAAAGAGATCGAATTTGTTTTCCTGAATAATATTATAAATACGACTTTTTATTCTGTTAAACGACAATTATCACTAGAATATTTCCAATTGCACATATGTACTTTCTTTTCTCGGAGATCATTTGAATATTTTGGGTACAAAATCAATATTTCACGCAACTGATCTAAATATTCTTTTTATGTTGCAGGGACTCCTTGCTGCGGTCCTTCTATCAACGATCCATCGATATCCGGACTTTTCGGTAAGTCTATATTATTTTTTTTTATACATTCTCATCTAGCGCTTAGACACGGCGAAGCATGCTATTGAATTTTGTTGCCTCGGAAATTATTAAAAGTTATTTGTGCGAAAACGATACGTCCTACGTGCCAAATAGCCGATATTATTCGCACCTGTTGCCGTGCAGGGTCCCCTCGATTCTGCACCTATGTCGAAACGACCGCTACGGCACAGCAACTCTGCAGAAATTTCTCTCTGGCAGCGGTTGCAAACCTGCCCTCGGCTACGCTGGCACGAAGTTCGCTTCTGCAATCGCGCGGCTAACTGCCTGCACAGAAACTCCGTGCGTTATGTGCACCATCTCGAGAGTTTTCTAACTAATAATTATAGTACCACTACCATCCTGGGGCCTTAGCCTGCTTTTCCAAGCGATTTTCTTTGAATCAAAATTTTCACATAGGTTCGAATCTCAACTTTTCCACCGAACGGTAAATGGCTATAGTATATTCGAAAAGTCATCAGATGTTTTCCTCAACACCAATCTTTCTCATCAGTCGATTCAAAATTTTTTTGTCGAGCTAAAGATAAACTCTGAAAATTCATTGCTTTACAATACTGGATAAAATATTGGATTATTTTTACAGAGAGAAATTCATGAATATAGCTATTATCTAATCATATATTTAATTGTTTTATTATTTTTTCATACACCAAATATAAAAATTTTAGCTTTTCTGTGTCACAGTTATCATAGAATTACTTTAAGAATATAGAAATTATTTCTAGTTGATATCACAAATGCACTTTGTTTTATTAGATCTTTATTTATAAAAGCACAGAAATGTATAGTATTAAAAATTTGACAAGTGCGATAGATTATAACTTATCCATTTTTATTGAGGAAAAATTTACCGTGAAAATTACAAGACATCCAGTGATTCTGGGACACTGTGTATAACGCGGCGAATAGGTGCACCTCGCTATAGGTGAACCACTCGACTATCAACCTGGCAAATGTCAGAGTATCCTGCCGTCGTCGTCGGAACCTGTCCTACACTCGTGCAGGCCAATCGCGCGCGGAAAATATTAGACTTCACGAAACCCGCAACTAAATGCAACGTGTAGCTTATTGCAACGTGGTGCATAATTTAGAGTCGATTATAATTTATGTTTAATAGATTCGAAAATAATAGACCCTGTGAGATTATCATTCAACCCAATTTTATGGAAATTGGAATTTGAAGAGAATTTACAATTAGAATTTGAAATTATAATTAAAAAAGAGAATTCAGAACTTGAAGTATATTATAAATTCTATTATAAAACAATATTTAATGCATTACTAATAATTATTTAATAAAATCTAGAATTTAAAGAATAATAATAAAAACTAGGATTTAGAATTTGTTTAGAAAAAGTTTGAAATTTTCTTTCATTTAGGAATTCAGATAGCAGAGTTTATGTAATGAAGTTTAATTAATTAATTCTATAGTAAGCTAATGTTATCGATATAATTATTCATCCCGATAAAGCGATAATTTATTAGCTAGTGGCAGGAACGGATTTTGCCTCGATTAAACGAACAACTTCGTCATCGCGAGAGGAATTTATTTATTGCATATGCGTGTGTGTGTGTTTGTGTGTGTGTGTGTGTTTGCGATTTAAAATTCGACCGAGCGTTTCGCAACGAAGTAAATAAGCGTAATTACGTGGTTTAAGGTTTTTGCAAAGTCAACTTCTCTCTTTCTCGCTCCGTCTCTTTCGTTAATCTTATACCTGATGTGTCTCGCGGGGACGTCCCTCGCTCGTATCGCAATATCAATAAGCGTGTAGCAACGCGAAGAAATGAGAGTGAAAAATCGATTTTTTCCCCCATCCATCCAGAAGAACACATATGTGCATTCGCCATTAACATTCCGATAGAAAGCGGTGACTCATTGCTGCTCGTAGCTTATTTAAACAGCGTCTAGGAGTTGATGAAAGTCATTCAGTGACAATTTCGTCCTACAATTCGCGAATCGTGTTATTTCGAACGTACAGAATTTCTATCGAGAATTCTGAATCTGAAACATCGGTAAATACAAATTTTAACTATTGTTTCAAGAACTAACAATAAGCTTCACCATTAAGATTTGCTGTTATTGAAAATAGCACAATCCTAGAACGAAGAAACGATATTAGTTCTTCAATTTTTTAAATTCAATTTTCTCGAATAATTTTCTGTATGCAAAGGAATTTTATATTTTTTTATTTATTTTTCTATGTAAAATTACGTCAATAGTTTGTGTAAAAAATATCGAATTACTGTCTCTGAAGACCGATAGATTGCGGCCTAGCGTCATGTCGCTATCAAAAGATCCATCGTGATGGATAACGTCGAAATCAAGTCTGAAACCTGTTAATGTTTAGAAATACTTCGCATTGCGAGCTACGCTTGATCGATTGATTTCATCCGTACTTTGGATATTAATTTTTTTCCCTTTTTACCTCGCGCCGCGGCAGATCATCGAGGTCTAGGATAGTTAAAGAGAGAAATTCAGCGGGCTTCTCGTCTACCGATGTATTTTACGGCGATGACCTCACATGTCCTTCCACTGTCTTCCTCCGGGCATCGCCGGCTAAAAGGACTATTAATACCTTGCCTTGCTTTCTCATTCTATTCAATGAAATGTGTTGCAGAAATGTGTTCGATGATTAATCGGAAAGGAAACGTTTTGCTTGATGTTGTATACTGTATTGTATAGTAATATTTTACATATTTACATTACACATATAGCATATTTACGTTAAATAATTATATTCTATTGTTTTAAGTATAAGCAAGCATACTGTCAATATAATTTTATTCTTAATTATATGCAGCAATATTTTTTCCGTAATTTAAGAAGATGCTGCTGGTTAATTTTCAAAGTTCATTATTTTTGAAATTAAATTTATGATATAAAATTGATTTATTGTTATGTTAAATTCTTTTATTTTATTTCTAAATTTTATTATTTTTTGTTTGAACAGTGGAAGATTTAAAACCGCGCCAATAAAATTATATTTGCAATACGTATATTCAAAATAACCGTCTAAAAGTAGCTTTTGATCAAGACAATACCTATTAGGTATAGCCCACGTCGCGCACGATAGTCACGTGGATTGCAAAAGCGTCGGCGTCATTATGCATCGCGTCGCGACGCGGCGCGTCCCAGATATCGCCTGCTCGCGTAAGAAGTGACTTCAACAAGAAGACTTCAATGCCGGCATACATGCGATCCCACGCTCGGAGATGCGTATCTCCGCGTACACCTCCTCCTCGATCTAGCCTTTGTTTTGGCCCGTCCGCGTTGTGTTTCCTGCCGTTTTCTAATTCTTAGCCCTTACTATTTTATAAGCTCGTCTCCTGTTTTCCATTTTGCAATCAAATACAAAGATCTTCTTACAAAATCTGTTTTGGATGTACAAGCCTTGTGCCATCAAATTCTTGAACTGTAGGATGAAATTTTGTGAATTGATAAAAACTAAAAATTGAGAGTGCAATGAGAATCAAAGAGAAAAGAGAAAGGCAGAGAACTTTAAAAATTTAAAGAATTTTGCAAGTAAAAAATTTTTATATTCGTATTTGACTAAATATAAATTTATTTTTTGAATTAAATTTGATTTAAATGTTATTCGATTAACTTGTTGTTAGTTGATTAAACATTTTGGATAAATTTAATTCAACCTGATTAATTTACAACAAAGTCAGAGTTTATTAAAGTTCTAAATTAAGATCAAAATAGCAAGGAATGCGATCCCGCGAATTTCACCGGCGCCAAAATTAGCATCGTTAGACGACACTTTTAAGCGTAGTTTTGTTTGGCGATCACATGTCCGGCATGTTTATGCTCGTAGATAAAGAAGGGGGACGAGAGTTGTGCCTTTGTCCCGTGGTTTTCTCATGGTTTGTTTTCTCGAAAAACAAGCGCCATTTTCGGCGCCCTCACCCGGTGCGCCAGATCGGAATCGAAATGATCAAAATTCCTCGCGCGGTTCTCCGGACGAGAATAACAGATTCATCCAAATTCCATGAGCGACGGACGACGGGAGGCGAATTCCTTGTCGTCTCTCTCGCTACTCTGTCGTAAAAATCTCTAAACCGGCGTAAAAATCATTCTTAGAATCGAATCCGGCGACTCCAACCGGCTCATTAGACACTCTCTTATTTTTTACATACTTGATTCGAGCTATTGCAAAATGAATTATTTTTCTCACAAAAGCATAAAAAAGATAAGGAAGATTTATTGAAAGTTCATGCGAGTGACTCGACGTTAAAAGGGGAATTACTTCGCAAGCTTAATATAATCTGAAAGAAATATAATAATTCTATAATTGTCATGAGAGAATTTTTTCCTATTTTCGAATTAAACTTTTACGAAAAAAAAACTTTTCACTTGTGAATAAAATTTTTATTAAATAGAACTTTCCATTTCTGAATAAAACGGTTTCTCCTTTAATTTTCTGAAGCTTATTGTTAATTTCATTATGTCCTTTTACCGTTGAGAGATTCGTTTAAAAAGGTGGATTAGATAATTTAGTATTTATCATTTTCGACAGTCGCACCGCTCGGATTTCATGAGCTTTTCGATTTTCCGATCCGTACGGAACCTGCGCGCACAAGCGTGACTAGTTTTTTAGTCGGCGACACGCGGAAAGGTCCACGCACGCACACGCGACACCGTGCCATTACCGCAATTTTATAGTTAATTAATACCGTGGCGCGGTCGCGGTATCGTGAGCAGCTGGAATTTTTCACCAATTATTTGTTTCGCAGGCCGCAACGTGGCCGTCGCGGCGATTCATCGTGTAGAACGGATACATTGTGGTCGATTTTAACCGAGAAAACCGATTTCTCGAAGCACCAACGAAAGGGAAAAGATACATGTAGCAGATGAAGGAAATTGACTCAGATATGAATTTATGAATGAACGATTTAACTTAAATTTAATTTTTTTATACTTCTCTCATATAATATTAACTATCTTTTTAGATAATCTTTGTCTTCCTGTGACGTAATTTTCTACGTATCTATATCATTATTTTTCCTCTGACAGCTCTAAGCTATCAATTCTTATCATAAAACAATTTATCCTTTGGTCCTGTATTGAAAAAATGTTTCACATAACATAACCCGCAATCACATCGCATCAAATAATGTGTCAGAATGTTCAGGTTCGAATATATCGAAATTTGTACAACACGACAACCAAGATCAATATTTTATTTATAATGCTTTTTAATAATACATTTTACTCATAAAGTTTTTCGAATTTTGAGAAAGTTTTTACAAGTTCTCTATTCCATTGGAGGGTTTAGCATATCCGACAAAACTCGTCATGCGAAAAATAAAATATCACTCTAACAATGAGATTATCTATTTTATTCTAGTGAAAAACGAAAACTAACCAGATTCGTAAATCATAAATATTCTTAGCCTATTTGTTGAATGAATCAAGTCTCGAGCCTTTCTGTAAACATAGATTGTGTACCTGCGATGATTAATGCATATACATTAATTAATTATTTATAAATATAATTTTTAATTATTCTCGCATAGATAAACATATCTATAAATGTTTGATAGTTTTTTTCTCCGAGCGTTACAACGTTGAAAATAATCTCCGTATTTGTTCGGCGAGATGCGCACGCGTGCAAAAAAAAAAACAATTTTGACGATAAACGCGATAGCGCACTTTCTCCTCGCAACGCTGTGTGCTCATTTGCATCGTATCGTAATTTTCCATCGAAAATAAGCACGCGAATACGTATCGCACTAGCTTTTCAAGGAAATCGTTACTTAATAACGAGTTAATAATGATTTCCTTGAAAATATTTCCATTAATCGCGATTCCCGCACGCGATAAGCGTCTAACGGGTGTCATGAAACTAACGGATGTAGCAACATTGTCATTTTCCGATTCTGCATGGTAATAAATAAAAATGCGGGAGAATTTTTGAGCCCAATTGCCGCATAAGTAATTTTCTTTCGAAACGGACATCGTGGGCGATAATCTCCGGCGCGATTGATGAATCTTTCTCGCACGCGGATGGTGCGCGGAGGCTGTGTCATCGCGAAGATTTCCAGCGCGCGAAAGAGGCGACGACACCTCTATCGTCGTTAAGCGGCGTGTAACTCCGCGAGGATTACACGCATCCGGAACGCGCGTGTCCATGATCGACAAAGCGATATATATGACTTTATTCACAATTATGCGTTAACCGTAGTTCATCTCTGTCCACATTCTAGCATTGCCATTTTATACTCCGACGTTTATAGTTACGATTTATCATAGCAATAACGGTTACTTGAAATGATCGAATCAATCATTTTACAAGGAACATTATTTTCCGCAATTCTGAAACTTGCACAGGGAATATCTGTCTAATCGTAAAAAGCATTCACAATATGTTCAGCAGTAAAAATTGATTTTCGACCTTTTTAGAGTAAATTTTTATCGAAAGACGCGGTTACTTTACAAAAGCGTTCTATGAAACTGAAACTTTCGCAATTCGATATTTCATAGACAACGTTGCAGACAACGACGCGATGTTTTCAAGCAATTTCGGAAAAGTAGCCTCATCTACGATAACGTTCTACGATATCGATATTGGCCTGTGGCATAAAATGAGACTCGATCACCGAAAAAGTTTACACCTCGCTGGCCGCAAATAATGCAGCTCGCTGCACTTTCGCAACGCAGATAAATATATACCTGGCGCGAGGCTCGCACACACTCTCAAGCGCGCACACAGATAATCGTTGCACCGAGCGCGTACCCATACTCCTGCCCACACGTGTGTGTACAATACCGGAACGAAGCGAGTGACTAACCTCTGGGAATAGAAGAGACGAGATCTCGGCCAGGTTAATCCCTCGAAGAATAAGCCGGCCCAGACGTAATTCCTCGGGATCAGAAGTCTCACGGATTCCCCGAAATCCTCTCGACGGACCGTAACGCAATCGTATTCACGAGGGTGTTCGCGAAATCCTTTTGACGGAAAAGGTCGTTCACTGGTCAACGGTCATGTGGTGCACGGAGGCATGTTGGACGACGCGAGGCATCGTCACGGCTCGACGCTTCTCGTATAAGTATTCACGCAGGTGCGTCGGTGCGGTAGCCATGCGACTTGGTTGATTCTTTACTCCGTCGAGTACTCCTCGAAAATGAACAGTGAGTTTTAAAGTTCTTAAGACATAATAAATCCTGACTACTTGGACACGATATATTCGGATCTAAGATTAATAGGTCCCGATTCTTTGGATCCTCTTAGTATGCGATAAATCTTGACTTCTTCAACTCCTAAAGTACGGGCTCTAAATTCTTAGAGATTCAGGAAATCCTGATCTTCGGATATTCGGATTGCAATATATCCTGACTTTTGGTTTTTTGTTTTATTAGCAGATCATAGCTCGTGGATTTTTAAGGCGTAATAAATCTTTGCCCGTCGAATTCTCCGAGTAAAATTGAATTATTGCTGCGATTTAAAATACTGTTTCTAGCACTATATTTTATTCAGCACTCACGTGAAACGCGGTTCAAATTTTTAATGACTGATTTATCCTGATTTGTATCGTGTCTCTGAAAAGCCGAAAACCCGGAAAAATCATGAATATCACTCTCACTCGCACGTACGCGCCCGCGCAGATCTCGAACGCTCTTCGAGATCTCGATGTCGCGAGAGCGAGCTAGCACCAACGTCGTTCGCAATGTGTCCTCCGTATTGTGATTCTCGCGAGCTGATCCAGACGGGGACCGGTCCTTTCGAGGAGGTCCTCGAGGATCCGCTGGAGACGACCAGCGACTAGTGATACCAGCTGTTTTATCGTTACGCGGTCGTAAACCGTATTGCTCACCGGCGACCGAATGACTGCAAGCGGAATGGTGGTGGTGAAACAGGATGAGGAGAAGGAGAAGGACGAGGTAGAGGAGGAAGTGGTAGGGTAGGTGAACACTCGAGGAGAAGGAGAGACCTCTTCGCGACGTCCTCTTCCACCTTACCGCTGTGATCACCAGGCGATTCTTAGTCTACCGATTCTAATTCGCCGCAACGCGCTGTCTTTGATAATAATAACGACAACGATAATGATTTGTGATCGATTGCGATAGATCATTCGTCTATTTATAAATTTATACGCGGAAAAGAATCCTAGAAGAGTTTAGTCTTTTTCACGCTTCTTCAAGCGAAGTCGTCACGACGTCTCTAGATGACGGCGACAATGATCAATTCAGCGATGTTTCGTATAGATAAAGAGAAATTGGCTCGATTTCTTCAGTTCACCAATTCAGAATTCACGACACTATTATGCCGACTATGTCGATGACAGTGGATAGTCACTGGCAGCACCGAGGAAGCACACTGCTTTTAAAATTCTTTGTTTAGTCCACTCAAGCCGCCGAAAATGGTTTTTATTTTGAAAAGAGTCTACCAATGATCTAAGAATCCAATAAACTTGAAGAGTTACACGAGGAGTCGCAGGAGAGTCCAGAGCTCGCGGAACCTCACCTGGAGGATTCGATTTCAATGACCAGAAAGAATCGGAAGGACGAACGAACGAACTCTCTCTCTCTCTCTCTCTCTGCGAAATCGCACGTGCGACAGGACGAACGACAAAAGAGAGAAAGAGAAAAAAAAGGAGAGAAAGAGAACGACGGCGACGTCGCGACGCGCGTCGTCGGCGAGGTGAGGCAAGCCACTGGTCGGTCAGTCCTCGCTGTTGCTCTATGGCGTGCATCATGGCGTGGACTTCCAGCGGTATAGCTCGCGCGAGCCCGCGCGACGAGGGGAACTCAGGGGGGTCCGTGGATGAAGTAGGGGGAAGCGGTCGAACACGTGGGAGGGAAAGAGAGGATCAGATAGCGGGAGAAAGAGAGACTACGCACTAGGTAGGTAGGTAGGTATGTATTCCGCCTCAGGCGACTCCAGGTATAGCGGTACTTGGGCCCCTCCTCACCCGGGGCCCGCGCGAGCTCGCCCTCCCTTTCTGCGCGCCACCCCGCGACGTCCGTCCGCTCCGTCGAGCCGCGCGCACAAAGGTTCTCTTGACCGGCGGTTCTCCGCGTGCTGCACGTGTCACTAACACACGAGCTCCAGGACTCGATCGGGTCCCATGAACACGACGGTGGGCTCCGCTGACTCGCGTATACGCGGGGGAATCGATTCGCCGCCGATGCAGCTTCAAGGACGTGACTTTTCGGTCTAACATAGGCCTAAGCGCTCCGACCTATTGCCGCTGGAGACTTCAACGAGGGGTTAAGACATGTTCATCGAGTTCACCGAGCAGACGGAAGCGCTGGGATTATCAATCATTGAAAATTCTAAGCAGACAATTAATTAATAGAAAGTGTAACAAAAGAAGTGGTAATAGTAGCAATGATGCCACTATAATTAATAGTATGCGGCCCAACAATTTACAGAAATTTTAATCACTATTTTAATCTCAATTTCTTCCTATATTAATCTTCTTTCTTTTATTTAAAATTACAATCCATCGTAACTGCAAAACTGTAACTTTGCAAAAGATTTACTTTAGAGTTAATCGAATCGTGAGAGACCGGATTAAAAGTTGCATTTAAAAAAAAATGCGTTTCAGAAGAAAAACTGTTACAGAATACTTTTAATTAAAAATTCAGTTGTGATATTCTAATTTTATCTTACTGTTATATTGTAGTATGATTTATTGGTCTGTTATGATTTATTAATATACTTAAGAACGGGGTGTTATCTGTAACTGGCAATACATCAATTTACATTGATATATATCGCGAATCGAATACACTTGCGAGAAAGGTTTGTTTGTATCTTGCAGACGCATAAATAGAATAATGCGGATTCAATGTGCGTAAATAATCGATCGGTTTGCAATAATTTATAGGCGGCTTTGGTTACGCCGCAGAGTTTATTCGCACTTGTGGAATTCGCGATAATTTTTTGTGTCGCAGAATTCTACTGGCGTCATAAAATTTCGACGTTAATCATGAAATTCGCTACAAAGTTGCAGAATTAATGACATTAAATGATCGAACTCAACACGCACGATAACGCACTCGAAAGCGGTGCGATCAATTTCGTATTTTTGTATTGATTGCATAATTTTAATATTTATTATATATTGCAAAAAAAGGAAATCAGATTATTCAATGAATCATAATTTTTTGCTTTCTTTTCTTTATAAAAAAAAAAAAATTAGGGATGCAAGAAAGTTTTTTGTGTCGGACTTCACTTTGCAGCCTAATAGGGTTAATAATCGGGCAAATATCTTTTTTATCGCTGCGAGAAGAGCGCGAGTCTACATTCCGACGGATCAGGATCTATGTTGGAAATGTGGATCTTATTGTAGCGGGAATAAACTTGATCGAACGGATCGGTAGATCGATTCGCGCCGGCCGCGGAAAAATGTCCGGAGGGGGGAAAGAAAGCTTGACTAATAACCGGCGGCGGCCTTGGAAAAATGCCTCCGCCGATGCAGGCCGCGGATGATGGAGCGCGGGAACGTGCGGAAGAACTGCCGCATGGCAAAAAGGAAAAAGTCGACGAGTTCTGATCGATGATGTCAGAAGGATGCGCCGCTTATCGACGTCTGCACGTGCGCTGGGATGCCGCAATTAAACCTCTTTCTCTCTTTCTCTCTTTCGCTCTTCCGCAGTCCACCCTCTCGTACGTAGCACGTGCATACTCGATATAACCGCCAGCCATGCGAAAAAGGAAAAAACGAACGGAATGGCGACGATAGGATGGAAACCGTTTCGATAAATGATAACATTGCATCGATAACTGACTGAGGCAACTTCTCGTTATTCTAAACACGTTTAAGACACTCAGAAAGCCGAGCCTTCTATCACGATTCAGATATATTCAGAAATAAATAAATTTAGATTTTTATTTAGATTTAGATAAATATAGATTTTCAAAATTAAATATTACATATAAAATTTACATGTCACTGTAATTGTGTGTAGACATTATTCATTGAATTTTATTTTTGTCAATTAATTTTTTTATTTAATATGTACTACTATTTGATTTCTAAATAACATGATGTCTCTATGATGATTTGATCTTCGACGGCGTGACAGAGAAGAGACAACAGGATGTGGATATTCTTAATAACAGTAACGGTTCATTTCGGGATCCCTTTGTGATCAATCCACTTGAACGTACTAATATCGTTCAAGCATTATTATTATTATTATTACCCAATGTGCTCCGGTGAAGCTCGTTAACGAAACAACGAGTATTCGGCTGCGTCCTGTGTTCGCTAACTGCGCGTATAAAACCACGTAATTCAACTCCGCTGGAAAGTCACTCATCGGGAATCATCCTAGGATTCGAGGAAAAGTCTACGAATTTAGTCTTAAATTTAGTTTAATCCTCTTAAGGATTGCACGCGCGGTGATTTTAAGTGTCGACAAGTTAAATTCTTCCATCGGAGCTATTTGTATCCTACTTTTGCAGGCATTTCTCAGAGATACAAAATAAAATTCTTCCATTAACTCAAAGCACAAAGATTCTGTAGTTCCAAACGCGAAGATAAAGCTTTTTGAAACATAGAATTATAAATTTTGTGAGATTTGATATTTCCAGAATATTTTAGGTACTTTAATGTAGGTACCATATTTCCAAATGTGCATAAATAAATAAGAGTCGAAATTGATTGTGGCCGAAGTCACCGAGTACCGGCGAAACGTAGTAGCCGAATTCATCGAGTCGGTTCCGGTACGCGATCACGGCGAGCCAGGTGCAACAGGTGAGTCCGGCTCGGCGAGCCTGGCCCGAGCACAGACACGGCGCGGCGCGGCGCGGTGGGTCTTATCCGCCAGGCCGGCGCGCCAGGTTCAGCCAATCGCAGGAGAAGACCTACATACGAGGCTTCCACCACCCGCGGCCGCCTAAGGACATCGCGCGCATATAACCGGTTCGACGTAACTCCTGGTTCCGTTAACGCGCAGCGCGACACGTACATCGGGAAGGAACTCTCTTTCAAAGTTGGATAATGCGAATCCGCAGGCTCTACGATACCCTAACGATCGTCTCTTACTTCATTTTCTCCCTCCCCTTTTCTCTCTGAAAGACGCATCGCTGCTCTCTACTTCGCGCATGTATCTATGTATCTCTTTGTTTGCAGATTGTAATTTCATTTAAATAAATCAAACCTAGTAGCTCTCTCATCGAATATGAGAAGAAAATCTACCTGGATAAATTGAATTGGAGAAATTGTTTTGCATATATGTCCCTCATAAGAGGTAAATGTCTTCTGCTAATTATTACAGTATATCAATTAAAGTGGCACAATTTGTTTGCAAAATTATACTTTCATTTTTCGAAATGTTTGCGATTTTTCTAAATGTAATAAATTTCTGATGCACAGAGATTTTATAATTACGCAAATAAACTCGAAAGCATTTAGAAATGTTGGAAGCATTTAGAAGCATTTAGAAAAATTTGTTATTATTTGAAAAATCTTACACGCAATTTTTCTAACCAACTACTAATTAATTTCATTTGTTTAACAATTGTTTTATCTTTTTTTGCAGATAATTTTTGCTACAATGTCATTGCACGGTGGTAAATTTATCATTTAACTGAACAGAAATCAAATCAAATCGACCTGTCTGCGCATCAACGTCCGGATTTTGCGGTGAGTCTATAGCATTTTCTTTTTTATGTTCTCGTCTAGCGACACGCGTAGTCGACGAGATGGTTCGTCGCGATAATCCCCGATCGAGGCAGCACTCGATCCGCGTACCCGCTCCATAAATCGAGCGTGTTGCGCAAACCGATCCCGTAATGAATGCTATGCTAGATGTGCTCGCCGACCTACTATATAATTGATAGGAAAAGAGCAGCTGCTCTCAACGCAGCGAATTCAATTAAAAGCTATTAGCAAGCGTTGATTCTCTTCGACGGCACTCGTTCGATTAGTCGGATTTAAGATTTTTTGAATATACTTAAAAAAGATATTAAAATAAAAGCCAGTTTCATAAGTAAAAAATATTAAAACTTGACAAAGAGCGAGATAAACGCACGGGAGATAAAATTCTTTACACGAAAAAGCGAGTAGGATAGGACAGAAAATAAACAAATAAATTTACGAAAAAATCAATCGTGGGAGTCTTCAGGATAGTATTCCGCTGTTTGGTATGTTTCAGTTATTTTTTTTATTTTTATTAATCTTTCGTTATTTGTATGATATGCATTGGGTGCCACTTTTTTAGTCTCACTGGAGCTGTAAAATTTTCTCATAAATGTGATTTACAGTGTGCTCTTTTTATATTATTTCTCACAAAAGAAATATTGCCAGAAATTCGTAAAATCTCTACAGAATGTTATAGAAAGAGAACTTTATTCTTTTAATATTATTTTTCGATTTACCAAAATTGTATATTGCGTAAAGGACTTTATTTATTTATAATCAAATCGGAAATTGCAAAATAGGATTTCTTTCGATTCGCTGACGAACTTTTGTTTCACTGCAATCCTATCGCAAGCGGAGCCGAGGGAAATAAGACTCCGTGTGAGAATGCAACTATGTGTGCACGGTGCACGCGTTATGCACTTGTTCTCGAAATGCACTGACGCTTGGGTGCTAATCACAGCCTGAGGTGCAGGGGCGTATCGGGGGCGGCACGGCGGAATATTTTGCCCCCGAGAGGTCGTCGATCTTGTCGACCTACCGGCCATCGGTCTCATTCTACGGTTTTCTTTTTTTCTCCTTGTTATCGTATTATTAGGAAAACTCGCTAAATCAACCCTCTGATTATATATACATATATATTATAGTATAAGGAAAAAATTTTATAATCATTTATTTTTACAATCAGTGTTGGGAGGAGTGTATTGCCAATAATTCTATAAAAATATCACGATATTAATTAGAAAGTGAATGAATTGAGAAAAAAAGATAACGAAGCTGAGAGAAGACAAACGTTCGCAAATAAACTCAGGAAGAATGCCTTTCTAAAATTCCGGACTGATCCAGCGGTCTAATTTTGCTATGCAAAATATCTAGAAGTCTTATTTTACATTATTGCATGATTAACGGAGCTTGTTAAAGTCAGTTGGTCCTGGAATTTCGATTATAACATGATTCGCGAAAGAAATTAACAAAAAGGAAGATGGAATCGAGAAACAATATCTAGCATTTGTAACTAATCTCATGAAAAATCGCTGTCTAAAATGCCGGTCAGCTTTGATTAATTAGTAGTTGTAGCTGCTCAACTTGTCATTTCTCGTTGCATACAGTAAATCGCCGTGTACAAGCGCAAAATAAACAGCGCTCGGCGCACAGGAAAAGCGCAGCATCAGCATCGTTACCGCTCCTCGTGCGTCAATCTCCGCGCCTCATTGTCGATAGATTAAGGCAGATTAGGCGAACCTACTTTCGGATTACGCCGCCGTCTTTCTGTCTTATGGAACCGTGATGTAGAGTATGGAGGGTACCCGAGGAACATTGCATCAATTATCAGCGACATATCGGTGAGTTTGTAGTTAATTTTTCCCTGGGCGAGAATTTAACATCCAGAGATGCCCGAGGTCGATTAGAATCTGTTTTTGCGAATTGAACTTGGTGAATTCAATATAGATAATAGATACAGCGTGTTTCGATTAATCCTCGGTATATCGGCAACAACTGAAATATTCTACTTTCCAAGAAGGAGGAGAGAAAATAAAATGACATTCAGAAATTCAAAGCTTACTTGCACAAATCACCTTGAATTCAAATTTACGAAGAAAATCGCAAAGTTATGTGCTTGTAAATTGATTATTTCTGAAAATTTCTGTAGCTTTTTAAAGTATGCACAATTCTTTTTTCATTCTCAAAACGAGCAGATTGTGCTCTCCAAATTTGGTAATTTATTTCGGGAACACCCTGTATAAACTAATGAAGATGTAACGAACGATGCAATCGCGTATGCATAGCAGTAGGACACTCTCTACAAACGATAATTCTTACGACGAATAAACGCGTCATTCGCGATGCACGAGCGCGCTGGGATATTCTATTTGCGAATGCGAATGCGAATGCGCGAAGACGAATAACATTCGAGGCGTTGAGAGATGGTGGCTCGGTAGCCAGGACTTTAATAAATATATGGGCTACGTAGCCGCGGGGTCCGGCGCGATCTTGGCCGCCATAACGCGATCGTGCGGTATGCTCCATAAAGTTGCCTCCTTGTCGGTTGCGCTCTACAAAATTGCTTGCTCGCTCTATCCTCGGCTTGTCGGGCCAATGTAGGAGTATGAAAATATTGCGAGAGAACGCGCAGTCACCTCTTCCGTGGTACGCTATCGTGCGCGAGATCTTTTCCATTATGATGTTTATTCAAGTATGGCCGATTATCTTCGAGATGATTATCAATTATCAACTTCAATGAATTCTGTTTTATCGTGTCAGTAATTTTATTTTAGCTGATTCAGTGAAAGTTTCTGTTTTCCGAAAATTAGACTAACGAGTCTAACGATTTCATATAGGATTTCATTTATGTTATAATGTATGTTTTAATCAATTATTTGGAACTTTATTTAGCTGGCGTTCACGAACGACTTACGGTATTAGAAATTCGCGAAAATCCAGGAATTGCGGCTGGAATAGCGGCGAATTTTGCGGATTCCTTTGCTAATATCGGGCGGATATTCACGTTATCGCGTCCCGATTCCTCCGGTGACGTTTCATTAGCGATTTGATAACAACGGACAGGATAGCGATCCAAATGAGAAATTGTTTATTACTCGATATTGCACGATCGGGAAACGGTTCGCTCGACGCAATTTATCGAGATGGGTGCGATCTCCGTGGAGAGAGAGACCAATTCCGCCGTATTCTAATTGCATTATATCTCATGCCTCACCTTCGCGAGATCGAGTAAACGGCTTGAAATCGCGGAAAATATAAACGGCATCGGCATCGTTGCCCGAAAGGCAACGGGAATCGCGAATTTATCGAATTCTGCCGTGCGCGCACGGATCCCGTGACCGACATCCCGACAGAATATTTTCTCGGGAGAATCACAGAAATACATGTAATTGCAAATATAAACTATTATGAAATCATTAACGGACGTATCGCGCACAATTGGCAAGCTAATGAAAAGTTTATGGCGACCGAGATACGTCTAGCAAACTTCCAGGATCGAGTTTCAAGTATTTAAATTGAGCTCGCTTTATAGACGATTTATAATTTGCGATAGAATTCAAGATAGAAATCTATGTATAATTTAATGTAATAGAAAACGTTTAAAGAATCAGATTCTACACGTACAAAATATATATTAGTAATATTTTGTACATATGAGTGCTTTGATTGTTTTAATGTGTCTCTTGTATTGCATACAAGATAAATAGAAATCTATCTCTGTCGCGAGTGATAAATTGTCCACAATAGATTTTAAATATTAGAGAGTCGTAAATATGAAAAGTTAGCCTTTGGAAGCTTAGAAATGTAAATTTTATTAAAATAAAATAAAAGTTAACAAGCGGTTAGTCTTTGAATTTTAGAGTTATCGCGATGCAATCGAGTAAAATATATGGCAAAATACATGGTAATATAATATATATGATAAAAGATAGTTTCTTAAATATTTTTTTATATTTTATGATTCTATTTTGTGAAACAATTATTTTACATTTGCAAGATATTTTTATGAATCAAATATGTGTGTAAAATCCAAGTTGAAAAAGTAAGAACTTGTTAATATAAATTCTAAAATTCTACTCTCTGAGAAATTTGGTGATTACACGTTATAAAATATTGCTGTTTAAATCGTCGTAAAAAACTCGTTAAAATTTTGCCATTAAAATTCCTAAATTAGTTACGAGAGAACGTAGAAGAAACTTGAGGACCTTACGGCGCGCGCGTATGCAACTTGGATCTTGCACCGAATGCACGAGCTACGAATACGACGCAGTAGACAGATACGGACGGCGAGGATCTCGCGCGCTCGCACGGGAACTTTCTAATGCCTGCATTAATATTTTTGTGCCTGGGAGCTAGAGCCGGAGTTGCGTCAAAAGGTCGGGCGCTCGCGCTCGCGCTCGCGCCGCGCTGTTTCTTGCACGCGTGCTGTAAAACGGCCGGATATCGAATTTAGCATTGTAAAGACAGAACGATATTATTCCGCTGAATAACGCCGCGTCGATTACGAGCGTACAGTATGTAAGTGATCTTATAACAGCCTCGTCATTCGGCGAGTACCATCATCATCCCGAGGGAACAAACCGTCCTTTATTCTCTGACCTGAAAATTCTCGACATAAAACATTTTGTGTGTAATTTGTCGGCGCGCGTTACACACACACACACACACACACACACACACACGCGCGCGCGCGCGCGCAAATGTATCTAGGAGGATTTTAAGAGACGTGCGATCGACGCTTGCTCTGGAATTTCGCAAACTGCATCATTCCCGGTTTGTTTTGCGAGCACCTGCGCTTTTACATTCGCGCGATCGCGAATTCCGTTAAGCCGGCGAGAAAAATCCTGATGACTCGGGAAATCTGATCCTGATTTCTTGCCCGGCTGGACGAAGAAACTAGCAACAACGATCGGCCGATGTTCCCGTTGAATTAGCAACAAAACGTCCACGCGCGCGCGGAAATTACACGCTTCTTACACGTCGGAAGGTCACCGCCGGGACGAACTTGTGCGCGAAAGCGATCGTTTCATTTCAGAGATATATCTATCGGTCCGCGTAATTGTCCTTGATAACGGGAACACGATGCACGTGTAACGGAGCGACCTGATATATTATCGCTTTGTTCTCCGCGACGAGACTGCTATCAATGTAGCATAGTGTTTTACCGAAGCGCGTCGTAATGCACACCTTCCACAATTATCTTTCTAAATTAACTGGCTGCTAGTACCATGTAGTTTATAATTTATCTGATAATACGCTATATATAACTTGGATATATTTTTTTATTTTATACGAATTTATATATATATTTATTATATTTGTGCGCAAATGTTGAAGATCTTGGTGTAACCACATTGTTATTAGCGACTCCGGTTGTATCGCTAATAATGGATCTCGTGCATCTCGGTGCGACGTCAAATTACTATCTATCTAGATTTACTGCAGACGCTTTCATTAATCCACAGGACATTTGTTAATTTGAAATTTACACTCATTGCACAAATGCTACGATTTTACTTAATTATCGGGATCCTTTCGCGCTGGCATTTCCAGCGAAGAATGATATGTAGTGAAATAGAATACATGAACAATTATTCGTGCGACGTTTCATTAGTGCGCGGATAATTAGTCACGACAGGGGATTTATCCCGTAATACAACAAGGAAAACTGCGTTCGCGAAATTCCCTGATTTTTGCGACCGGCTATTTGCTTTTTTTATTTTTTCCTTTGATAAACGATCGCTACTTTTCGCCGCATCATTTGCCACGGCACCGTGATTTCTATCGATAACTCGTTAAGCTCGTCGTCACTCTTATCATCTTTTCAATCTTTAGCGGTAAAAGAGCGATCGCGTAGCGCGCGTACGTACTCGATATATCGGCGGCAATAATAGATAACCTCGCATTGAAATTAATGAAAACTCCGCACTATAATCGGCAAATCATTACTCTCATCCTTGACTCTGTTGCGAATTATAGTGTGAGGTGATAATTACGTGGCGCAGGCCGTATTTAATGTTATTTTCTTATTAAAGATTTCCTTTCTTCGGAAAAACTGTCTGAGAAACCGATTTAAATTACAAGCGACTAAAAATGAAAAATTCTTCGGAATCTATAAATTTTTATTTTATAGTTTCAAATAGATTTTGTTCTAATAGATTATAATTTAGAAATTGATCGTACGAAATTATTTAGCAAAGGAAATTAAAAACTAGCGTTAAGTGATCATTTTTCTCTTATTTTTCAAGGCTGGAAAAATGGATTAAAAATTATTCAAAGATCTTGTTGGAAAAAAGTAACTCATTAAGTTTGGGAAATTTTGTACAAACTTTCGCCATAAAATATTCCATCGAAAATTTTTAATGAAAATTTAATTGTATTATTTTTATCTTGTTTTGCGATAAAAATTCAACTTTATCTTACTTGTATCTTAAATTCAAAGAGTCTCAAAATATCAGAACAGGTGATGCTCTCATATAAAAGTTTATAAGAGTACTTTTATTTGTGTGCATCTGTGGTCCTCTTTTGCGCTTTTACATAAGCGTGATATCTCATCTCAAGCGCGTTTAGGCCTTAATTATCGGACGGTACGTAACCAGTGCGCCGATATGTCGGTGTAAACGCGCTTTACGACCAGGCGGAGAAAGTCGGTTACATATATTTAATAAACGCCGCGTTGGCCACCGACTCGTCATTGGAAGCATAAGATCGCCGTGTTCGGATGGGAGGACTCCCCTCTTATGAAAGCCCCGTCGCGCGTTTTTCAACCCTCGCAAAGTGATCCTCAGCCTATATCTCGTCCCGATATCTCGAGCGCGACGGTATATTTATGCGAGAGAACGCATCATGTTGTCGTTGCCTCATTATCATTATCGCATCTCGTAATTGTCGTCGCAGTCGT